TTCATTAAGCCTAACCATATCCTCCCGCAGTATTCGTTACCACGTTCCTTTATAAAATCTATTTCTTCTTGAGTAAATGTTGCCATAGAAATAGACTTTACTCTATGCGGTGGTGTCAAGCCCCGCCTGTAATATTAAACAAGACTAACTATAGAAGTTTTTCTTTTCCCATAAATTAATAATAGACTTTACAATACAAAAAACTGTTTCCCTATTTTTAACTGTTATACTTAAATAAAAGAATGTGATGCAATCTTTTCAAATGGAACTTTAGAACAATAATAAGCTAATTGGTAGTTTTAGAAGTACTTAGCTATATCTAACGATAAAAATACTTATTAAAATAATAGAGAATGATTAAACCAGAAGTACAATTATAGTAAGATAATAATTAATTGAACATAAAAAATAAAGTAGACTCAATTTTTTTGTAAGAATATTAAATTCAAAGTATACAGGCCACTTATTATTTTTGAACCAAACAATTTAACTAGTAGAAGACCAAGGTAGCTTTTGTTATTTCAATGGTTTGTAATATTATTTTTCAATTGATTCAATGTGCATTATCTAATTTTATTCATAATACATTCTCCGGTATATTTCAAAAGAAAAACTAATAAGTAATTGTATGTACTTTACTCAAGAAAATTATAAATACTAAATAAAGATACACACTTGAACATTTAATGAAGTTTAATGTACATTTTATATACTAAAAGATGTTAAATTTACAATTAATTAAAAAGTATATTAATTAAATTGTTAAATACTTCAGAACTAAGTCATGTTTGCTGTTATTATAGTTACATTTATAGTATCATAGATTTTTTCACAAGCTGAACTTTTATGATCAATTCATATCCTTGAGACGTAATCAAACTTAGTCTATTATAAACCTTGCGATACAACTACTGATTTTCTTCATTACATGTATACGAATGTAACATTTTGACCATTGATAACAAGAATTACGCACGAAGAAAATACTGATGCTGATAGTATATTAACTTCCTGAGTATGAACGCGAGAACGTTTAACAATGAGTCACAATCTTCCATACGAATTGATAGCAAAATCCGTCTACGGCACGTGTTTCGACGGAACATAATTATTCGTACACGAGACTAATATTTTACTTCTTTTATTAATAATAAAACGACATGTTCTAAATGCATTCGTGCTGTTGACATTTAGTTAACACTAAATCTCGAATCTATCATTACGTATATCGTACGAGAAAAATGCAATGCCAGTTTTGCTTTTAATACGAAGAAACAATAAGCAAAATGACCGTTGCATCGGTTTAGACAACGGGGAAGGCTTTTGATACACTTTAGAGGCTTCTTACAAATAACGAGTACTTACAGCATACCAGAACAAGAAGTACAGACAAACGAACCGATTGTCATGTTGACGTAAGTTGGGCCTCGCTGATGGCAGTCGAAACATTCTTTGTTACCGGATTGCGAGACCAGCTCGCGTAATATTTTCAAATTCTTCTCGTCTTGCTTTCTCTTCGCGGACGCCATCGCTTATAACGATACTTTGTAATTCTAACCGGAACAGAGACACGGCTCCTTTCGCGGTCTGCTTACGGAACTGACTCAATTTTCTGTCACGACGGTCGTGCGTGTTCCGTAACACATTCTAAAAATGTTTCCGAGAAAACGGATAAAACCACAGCAGACTCTAGTACTAGCCGTGCTGAACAACGTGGCAACACCGCTCATGGAGGATTCGGGAGTGCGGGAGTCCTATTCAGTCCTATTTTCAATAGTAGAGTTTTGTGCTCAGTGTTATAATTAACGTTATTTTTTATATAAAACCGTAATAATACACAGTATTTTTTATTAATTATGCATAAGTAATACATAAATATCATTACTATAGTAAGTAGAAGTAATATAGAAGAATACTAATATATTTATAAATGTGGTGTATATTTTGTGGACACTCGGATTAGTTTGGTGTTGTGATGTATTATATTAGAAATATTTACAGTGGTTTCAAGAAAATATAAGAGTGAAGCATGATAAAACCATCTTTGAACCAAATTGAAGCATTTAAAAATTGATAAAGGTATGTGTAAGTTAATAGGAACCTAAAATAGACAAAATTATTTGTACGATGCCAAACAGGTTAAGGGACATGTGGAAAAGAGGTTAGGATAATTCGCTATTGAAAGGAACAATTATGCAGTTAATTATGAACTCGTGTTAGAGAGCAGTTTATTATTTACAGTTTTCACATAATCATTTAATAAAATATTCGAAAAAATAGACAATAATTTAAACCAAATATTATGGTAACTTGAACCACAAATGTATGTATCTGAAAATGCTAAATAATGTATATCTGATTGAATACTAATATATGTTAATTTACATAAAATATGTTTATGATTTTCAGATTGTAAAAACTGAGATTCCAAATTGCCGTCATTTATTATGGCTTCCATTATTGCATACATATGAATAAATGAGGTTATCACTTCTTCAGTGGGAACAGAAAGGTTCCCTCTTTGTAAGTAATCAAAATATACATCGCCTACAGTTTTACCTTTATCCTCCGCAATTAATAATCAACATATATTGCGATTTAATTTTTTAGTGACAGAATGGGACCCATAACCTGATATGTAAATTTGAATGGATCATCTACAACACAATTGGACAAGTATTCAGTATCCATAACAAAACATTCTCCAGTACACCATTGGGTGATAGAATACTTTGGTATCTTTGAATATCACTTTCTGCAAAATGCAGACTGCAAACAGCAGAATATTTTGTTGGTGTCCAATTTTTACAAGGAATAGCAGCCATCTATTTTTTTCGCAATTCCTCATCTTTAGGGAATACAAATACAGATATATAAGTATTATCTTTTAAAGTACTATCATAATTTCCCTTACAATTCGGAACACAGCAACATCGTGACATTATTAATAAACATATGAAAATTATAAACCAAAATATATGTAAAACAAAATTTCTAAAATGGCTATAGATTTTATTAAATAAATGTGCTACACACAAACAAATGATATGTAGAGTTAATATAAATAAATAAAATTACCTGGATTATTGTATTATTTCTTACATTCGGAGGATTACAATAATTTAAACATTTGAAGGATAGGCGGGAAACTGACAGGCCGGTAGAGGGAGACTGAGTAGCCGAGAGGCCGGTGAAAGTGAGGTCTAGTACTAGAGTCGCTGTGATAAAACGTGCAGACCGAGTTCACAGTTTTGTTCGGGCGAATTTTCATTCATTAAGATCAATTAAGATTAGTGATGGGCATCATCGGCTAAAAACTATCGACTAAGTCGATAGTAACCAACAACTATTTTCTGTTGACTAATTTTTTCAATCGTCGACTACATTAGTCGCATGAAACGACTAATTTCAGGCGAATAATAGTAGTCGCTTGAAGCGACTACTTTAGTCGATTACATTTAGTTGCTTCAAGCGACTCGCTCGAACTATCGAGCTATTGATTGCTATTGACTGGATCTAGATTATTTTCTTCGTGATGCAAACCAATTACAATTTTTTCATATATTTTTTTATGCATTACCAAGAACTGTGCAAATTATTGCTTATAACCTAATTGATTTACATAGAAAATTTAGAGCAAGTAATTTTTTAAGTGCCAATATTAAATAGCTTACAAAAAATCGAATATTAGTAATTGTTTAAAAAAACTTGTTTACCACTTATATTTTTGAAATTCGATCTATGAACTAATACATTTCTAAAAGGTAAATGCACCAATGGTGCTGAAAAATTGACGACATAATCTATACATAACCTATAAAGCAAAATTTCAGTCGACTAAAAACTATCGACTAAATAGTCATTAGTCGATAGTTTAATTTAGTCGATGGTGCTCATCACTAATTAAGATTATCTAATCCATCAATTGAAAACTATCGACTAAGTCGATAGTAGTCAACTACTATTATGTATTATTATATATATTATGTATACTATATTACTATATTTTCTGAACTATCGACTACATTCTGTTGACTCAAGTTGATTGAAACAATCGCTTGAACCGCTTGAACTATCGAACTATTGACTGGATCTTGATTATTTTCTTCGCAATGCAAACCAAGTGTAATGTTCCCATATACAGACACCTCTCGATTATCGTCCCAAACTCGAGTCCGCGCCGGGACAATAATCTCGTAGGGAGAAAGGCTTCAGACCCTCGTAAATTCGTTTTTTGCACGAAGCCCAAACCTCCACAAACCTCGGTAACAAAAGCGGAGGGGCAACAAAGTATGCACTTGACAGGTTCCACGTGGCTTCACGTCCCCCCTCTCCAGTGGTGGGGATAACGTCTAGACAATAATCGCGTAGAACAAGTCAGACGATAATCGAGTAGAGTCTGTATTTTTTCCCCACTTTGGTATATTTTAAGCTGAGTAGATTTTGGATTTAGTACATGTATAGCATACACAAACGTGTAAAATACAATTGAATAAAAACTAACAGAAACCAAGCAAGTTTATAATATACCTATTTTTGATTTAATAAATCCTTTAATTTGAAATTATATAGATTTCCCGTGGTACTGATTTTTAGAAAATAGTTTATGAAAATGAATATTTGCGTAAATATTTGTAGCTGTGGTATTGCCTAAAATTAGTTGAGAATAACTACGTGGAAAGCAAATTTTTAATTTCTATTTATAAATCGGAGATCATACACGATATCTTTCGTGCCAATTACATATATGTATTTAGACGTTAGTTACAGTATGAACAAAACAATTGTCGAAAAGTTGACAGTCAAGGTTAACGTATATACATACATAGGTATATGATATACGGAGAAACAGTTTTTACTATTTCAGTCACCACCTTCGAACGGATTTATCTCTTATTGCATTGAAAAGTATAACATATTAAAGTTACTATTTAAGAAAAAGACGTTACCAGTCTCAAAATAAAAGTGATCCGTAAGATACGATTATGTGCATTGTCAAATAATAGAATCAATTCAAGGATAGCTGGATTTAATAATTTTGAATAAAATGACATCTTTTGTGACAATACCTACAAATACAAAAAGGTTTAGAATTTTTTATATTTTCAAGAGGGCAATCGAACATGTAAATAATTGCTTTTATTGTAAAATATGTATTTTAAATGAATATTTCTATTTTGTAATTATAGTAGGTTTTCCCAACTTAGAGGTGTCCGACAAGGTAGTGTTATTGATTTGGATATTGATATGTTCCTGAAAATTTCAAATTATGAAGATACTGTACGACAACTGGATATCTATTATGGAATTGGTATGGATATTAATTTTTGTATTACATTAATACTAATTTTAAATTGTTCCTATACTTACATGTAAGTTTCATGTTACTGTTTAGTTAAGAGACAATTGTTGCGTTACCAGAGTATTATAACTGGGTTATTTCCACAAATTTCAAACGACAAAGTAGTAGGAAGTGTGCGTGAAAGTATTTATTGTGCCGCTGCTATATGGAGTTTGTACCAAGCATATAGGTAATGATACTAATTAGAACATTGTATTAGTCATTATTATTATATTATGTTTATCATTGCTGTTTTAGACGTATAGACGATGATCGTGGAAAATCATATGAACTTGGTCAGTCAGCTGTAAAATGCATGCGTGGGATTCTAGAATGTTGGGTAAAGCAATCTTCAAGAATAGAACTATTTAAACGCAATCAGTGTAATCGATTTGCGCTGCATTGTAAATTCCACTTAGATACCGGTGATGAGATTTTCAGTGACATTGCTTATAATCATTTACAAGTAATTATAACAAATAATACAATATTTATATGTAGTACTCTAAATTAATGAGAAATATGAAAATATATATTTTTAATTCTATTGTACAACCAAGCTATTTACATCGTGGATGCAATGAAAAATTTTCATGTATAAATTAAGTAATACAATGAATATTTAATGAATACAATAATGATTACATTTTATTCTAATAATGGGCTTGTTTAAAAAAAATTAATGAATACATTACTTGATTTTGAATTTATTTTATTATATGCTCCAAAAAAATAAATATTACGAAATTTGGTGAAACTACTTTACAAGTTTCAATGTATCCTTTAATTTGAGATATTAGGAAATTTCAAATTATCACTATGATGTAAATAATTTTTTTGTAGAATATTGTATCTGAGTGATATATATTAATGTCAAACAGGTTCGTAAAAAACAATTTATAGTATATAATTACCACATTAACTTTTATTTTTTGTAGATTGATATTGTTTCTCTTTATTTGATATTTTTGGTACAAATGATTTCTTCGGGACTGCAAATTATATATACTCAAGATGAAGTGGCTTTTATACAAAACCTTGTATATTATGTGGAAAGAGCATATCGCACACCAGACTATGGCATGTGGGAACGTGGTAGTAGATATAATGATGGTACACCTGAAATTCATGCAAGTTCCATTGGTATAGCAAAAAGTGCTCTTGAAGCAATTAATGGGTGCAATTTATTTGGAGAAAAAGGAGCTTCTTGGTCAGTTGTATATGTTGATATCGATGCTCACAATCGAAATCGTAGCATTTTTGAAACAATGCTTCCAAGAGAATCAAGTTCTAAGGTAAAGGAAAGATCAGTGAAGAAAGTTTCAGATTTTATAAAAAATATTTATGGGTGTAAAAATTATGAAAACATTATTCCTGAATAGAGTGTAGATGCGGCTTTATTGCCAACAATATCTTTTCCTGCATTTGCTACTCACGAAGAGGTATTATACAATGAGACAAAGACAAACATAGTTGGAAGATTGAAAGGCAATTATGGTTTTAAGAGATTCGGAAGGGACGGATATAAAACAATTTTAGAAAGCAAAGATCGTCGTTATTACAAGTCTGGTGAAATCAAGGTCTCTGATGTATTTAATTGTTAGTACATTGTTTTTGATAACTGATTTAAGCAAATATGTTACATTTGTGATTTTGTCCAATACAATTACGCTAACTTTTTGTAGTATCAGTTATTCAATATTAACCATATATATTTTTTGATATAGGAATTCGATAACATAGAGTGCGAATGGCCCCTATTTTATATTTTTATGATCATAGACGGTGTTTTTAAAACCTTACCAGATCAAGTTGAAGAATATCAGAATTTGTTGAAAGAACGAATACATAAAGATATTAATGGAGGTGTACTACCATCAAAATTAAGTTAAGTATAATAACACAAGAATATTTGAACTTATACGTTTTACAATTCCATAGATCCTGTAATACCTATGTATTACTATGTATCCGAAGAAAATTTGGAAGCAGAAAGAAATGATCCTGGTAGTACTTATCGGGTTGCAAGCAATGAGGGAAGTGGACAAAGAGGTTATACAGATTCCGAGCCTACACCAATTTATTTATGGAATCAAGCCATGTTTGTAATTGCACAATTACTTACGGCTGGTCTGTTACATATTAATGAATTAGATCCAATCAGACGGTATCTTCCTTCATACAATAGACCACGAAAGGCTGGAAGATATTCAGCTTTTCAGGTAAGTAAAAACATACTTTCTTATTTATACTAAATTGTCATATGTATAAATTATTTTGCGTATGTTTATTCCATACAGGCTAAACCCAGTATTGTAAGTAAATGATAATATTTGTATGTGTAGTTCAGTATATTCTGCATCAATTTTCTTTTAGTATTTATTAATTAGATCGACAGATTGATACATACTTCTTAAATAGTACATACATATTTGAAGCTTTCAAAATAAATAAATTATAAAACATGCCTAGTAGAATGTTTTCTAAAGATATTATTTCAGTATCTGATTGTTAGTTGTCACTATTACTTTTTCACTGTTAGACTGGTAATACTTATGTTGTAATATATATGTCCTCAAAGCTTTACAGTAATGTAATAGTGCATGAAGCTTGAATCAAGGCATGATTTATTTTCCTCTTTCTTTTTCCATGATGCTTGTTGCAACTGTCTAATTCTTTTTCAGTGATTACTTTGTGTATCATAGTATATACGATATCTATTTCTATCATTTTTTTTAACATAATCTTGTAGTACAAATCGTTCTAATTGCTGAGTCTATGCGACTGCAAGCTATGATGGCAACATATGGTATACAAACACAAACTCCGCACGAGGTAGAACCTGTCCAAATATTATCATCTATGCAGTTGGTAAAAGTTTATGAAAAACTAGGTGTAAACAGTAAACTAAATTTACAAGGTCGTCCAGCTAGACCAATTGGATCTCTAGGTACCAGTAAGGTATGTTTAATTGATCAACAAACGATTTAGAGCAGAAATTCAATGTGATTTTTTTTAGGTTTATAGAGTATGTGGAATGACAGTGCTTTGTTATCCTCTGATATTTGAAGTATCAGAATTTTATTTGTATAGAGATATGGCTTTATTAATTGATGATATTAAAACTGAACTTCAATTTGTGGGTAAATATTGGCGACTTTCAGGTCGACCTACAGTATGTTTATTGATACGGGAAGAGCATATGAGGTATTTATTCATTTCTATTATAATCTCAACTAATATGCAGGGTGAACCACGAATCGTGATCAGTAGAGATTACTCTGTTATTAGCAGTCTGATCAAAAATATTTTTATCAGGTATAGCATGGTTTCAAGAGAGCTGTAACGTGACTATAGCACATTTTTTGTCAACCCTTTTTTTCATGATTTTTTCTGGTCACCTTCAATTTTCTTTCAAAAATTCATTTAAAGAAAAAAGTAACACATGCTATGTTATGATACTTACCGACTTCGTCTTGAAATCCTTTAACACTCTAACAGATAGGCACAAGAAAAGTGTAGGTGTATTTGCAAAAAATTGAAGGTGATCTTGAAAAATCATAAAAAAAAGTTGACAAAAAAGTTGCTATAATCACGTTACAGCTCTCTTGAAACCATGATATACTTGATAAAAAAATTTTCGATCGAAGAGCTAATAACAGAGTAATCTCTACTGATCACGATTCGTGGTTCACCCTGTATATATACACGTCATTAACACTTTTTTTTACACTAGAGATCCACAATTCAAAGAAATGCTTGATCTCTTTGCAATGCTGAAAAAAGGTTATTGTGATAAAACAAAAGTACGAATTGGTCGATTACAAAATCTCATTTCATCTTCATGTATTGGTAATTATAGCATTCAACCTTCACCATCGTTGTTTATTAAGTATTAACAATTTGTTTTCGTGTTGTATAGAACATTTGGATTTTATAAATACTATAGAAACGGATCTTGAGCTAACTCAGTTCAGACAATTAGAACATGATTATATTGGATATCAAAGTCTTACAGATGTACCTAAAGCTTTAACTTACGCTGACGATATAAGAGATTATTCTGTAAGTCTTTGCAATAAACAATTCCTTGAATATATACTTCTTGTAATTATTTCACATTTCAGTATTACATGAATGAACCATTGTACAATATATTAACGGAAATTCGTAATAATAAAAGTCTTTATGCTCTATGCCAACTTTATGGAATTTTATTAAAACGAGAGGGTATTAAATATGAATTTAATGAAATAACAGGTACTATTTTATGTGTTCGTAAGTAACATGAGTATGTTATTTCGTTGTTCACCTAGTTTACGATTTCATTTTAGTGGGTGATCATTTAAAATCGTTGTATCAACAAGCAGGCTGCCTTAGGTACTGGACAGTTGTTCGTTATTGCAGCAGCTTATTGAATCACACTGTTGATAGTATTAGTCCTTTTATAACAGGAGTTCTTGTTAAAGGGAAACAGGTAATCTTTAATTGTATCATTACCGAATTACTTGTAATATTGCATCGACTCTAAAGTTCTTGTTCATTGCTAATTTTAGATAACAGTTGGAGTCATTGGACAGGAAGAAACAGTTTTTGATAAACCAATGACACCAGCAGAAATTCAGTCGGTTGTATATTCTACTATTCAGCCACATAACGTAGTACAAGCTGTACTTCAACAAGAAGTTTTATTATACTGTGGTAGACTTATTGGTAGAAATCCAGAAATGTTTAAAGGAATATTGAAAATTCGTATTGGGTATATAATGAGATTTTTATTATAAATATGTCTACAAGAATAAAATACTTTAGATTAGCAATACTGATTTTCATATTGTGTTTACAGATGGGTTTTAGAGGCAATAAAGCTTTATTTACAAATGTTTGTTAAGAATCCTAAACCAATCGAGAATTATAGTCCTTTCGAAATTCGCCGATTTTTAATAAAAGTACTGACGGTTAAAGATTGGGCAACCACTAAAAGGTATGCTAATTTATAATTTCGCATTTGATCATTGTTAATGCATCTATTTTATATAAATTAATATACATATATGTTCTGTGCTCTAATAGACTTACAGTTTTGGGACGCAGAAGAATTGAAGGTTGTCTATGTAGAGTACCTGCACATTTTTATAATCATGTCTGGGAAGTATTGTTGCGCTGTCCAGGTGGCATTTGCGTTAATGAACAAGAATTACCCCAACAACCCACTCTGTCTAATATGACTCGTTCTGAATTGACGTTTGCATTACTCGTAGAGTCATTGCTTCATCACATACAGTTACCAGAGTATCGTCAAATTATTGTAGAGGTATTATTGAAAATATAATATATTCTTCGATTACTATATCTTGTATAAAAACAAACAAAATAGTAAATCAAATTCTTTCTTTTTACAGTTACTCACTATAGTGTCGACAATTTTACTTCGAAATCCAGAATTGAGTTTTCAAAAGCAATTGAATCTTAATGAACTTGTTGAAGACAGTTTTCAAATGTACTGTAAGGTATGTGTACATTATATAGGGTGTAACCAAAATATTGCAGGACCCTGAAATGGGACACTCGTGAGGCGATTTAGAACAAGTTTTTCCTTAGCGAAAATGTTGTCCGGGACTTTGCTAACGAGATATTAACGAAACAACCGCGCTCTGATTGGTCGGGGTTTTTCGTTAATATCTCGTTAACAAAGCCTCAGATAACATTTTTACTAAGGCAAAACTTGTTCCAAATCGCCTATTATGTACCTAACTATGTACCAATTATATAACCCTATTTACCTTTCTAGGATCATAATATAGAGAAAACTAATGATCAATCTCCATTTTTTTCTGCTGATTATTCATTAACTACTGGATACCTTGCCAGATCTGTGGTTAATAATGTGCTCACTGGAGGATGTTTTGCGACTATTCATGATATCAATGACACAATTGAAAATAAGGAAACATGCAAGATTACATAGTGATGTAAAAGTGTTGCATTAAGAAAGGAGACATTGTAAATGTGTTAAAAACATATATTTATATACGAATAGTTCCGTATTTTCCGAGTATGTGTATTTCTTCAATAGAAGAGAGTGTTTTACATAAATATATATATACTGAAATTAGAAAAGCTATTATACGAATTTTATTCAAAAATTTATACATATTTATATACTACCTGGAATACATGCTTAGTGGAGAATATATTGTTCACATACATTTTACAAAAATTTAAAGGAAACTTTACATAACTATACAAATCTAATCACAGTATTGCAAATTACCTTTTAGCAAAATTCGTATCCATCGCTCGTCCAGATCGCTGTATGTTATTAATATTTGCTTTAATCCTAGACGCGACAGTTCCTACTTCCGCAGCAGCTGCCAAATGCTTTCTGACAAAATCTTGATTATAGTCATTTCTACTATTTATTTCTTTCCTTTCTTCTTCAGTATATTTTTTAACATTTTTTTGTCTTTCCTTATTTCTCCATGTCGCATTAGCTATCATTTCCTGTCTACGTCTTTCTTTTTCTTCATCCGTAAGATGGTGTTTCTTCTTTGGACTCCATTGATCTTTATTTCTATTAACATCTTTATATTTCTCTTGGACCATATCAGAAAATGATTTAGAATAACTAATTTTTTTATCACTTAATTTATTCGGGTTATGTTTATCATCATTATTTCTGCTATTGTATTTACTGCTACGAGAACTATATTCTTTATCTTGAGGAGTTCCTGAATGAAATTCTCTGTCTTTATTTTTATGTATGTCTCTTTTATATTCTATACATTTTTTTCTTCTACTTGAACTGTCACTTCTTTCTCTGTTCGAACTATGACTCATCCTAAATTGTGTTTCAGATATCCTTTGCTTTTTATGTCCTTTCTTATCAGATTTTTCTGTATATTTTTCTTTATTATGTTTCTTAGATTGCGTGTTGTTTTCTTTACTCTTACTTCTCTTTTTCCTTTTACATTTTTGTGTACTTTCGTCGCTTGTGCTACTTTCAATACTGCTTTCAGATTCACTACTTGAACTACTTTCACTCTCTTTTCTTAACTTTTTTCTCCGTTTATGTTTAATCTTTTCCATTGACTTCTTTAAGTCTTTATCAGTAATTTTGTTCTTTAACTGTTTATATTTAGCAGCTAACAACATATCTAATTGTATTTCATCATCACTGTCTATATCTTCTTTATGTTTCTTTCGTTTTTTCTGTTTCTTTTCAATTTTACTTTTTTTTGATTGTTGTTCCAGCTAAAAAATAAATAATTATATAACTGTTAATTATAGTTATTAACTACATAATGGGGTTTAATTAAAGATTGACATTGTTGTTTACTTACCAATTGCCTTAATTGCTTTAGTTTAACAGGATTTTTCAACAACTGATTTCTTGTTTCCATTTCTTTTTTCTTTATAGCATATAGAGGATCTTCTTGCATTTTTCTTGCTAGGTCTACTTGTTCATTACCAGAGAAAAAGCGCAATGAAGGTGGAATGCATTCTGAAATTATAGACAAGTCAGAGTTGAAGCTGAAATGTACTAGATGTCATTGAAATATTGTTAGAAGTCAAGAAGGGATAATTTTACTCGAAGATATGAGTAGAAAATGTAGAATAATATTTTTGTTCATGCAAGGTAATAAATAGACATTGAAGATTTTATGTCTGATCTCACTATCACTTTGTTACAAAGACATTACTACAACCAGTTGTATTGTTATTTTTGTTTATCGTATTAACATAATTGAATGCTATGTATTGTAATTTTGTAATTGCTTGTTCACATTGGGATACATAAAAAACATAATGCAACTGCATAAATAAAAGTATATAATTATTAAGTAATACTCTGATAGCTAATCAATAGTAGGTTGGATCAGTGCATTATCCCATTAAAAAATTTAATTTATCCAAATACAGTACTAATATTTACACATATACGTGTACCTATAAATACTTTAGTTCCCTTGCTCCTGTGCTATCCCATTAGTGTATTTTCTACATTTTAGAAGTATTTTTGTATGTATTTTGAGCTGTATCATTAGTTCACTAATATCTTACATACTCATAGTTAATTATTATGGATTATCATAGTAAATTTGTGTGAAGAGAATTATAATTTAAAATACCATGTTCAACGTGATTTCTGGGTGCTTGATTTATTACATTATCTTTTTCTGTTTGAGCAATTTGCTCAAAAGATTTGTCAATTGGCTTTCCAAGTAAATAATCTTCTCTATTGATCAATTGATTTGGTCCTTTATACATCCAATCTAATTTTTTGTCATCCTTTCCCTCTATTACACCTTGTTCCATTGCATACTTTTTGATATCCTCTCTGTCCTTTTCCATTTCGATTTCCCTTTTCAATTCGGCTATTCTTTTCTTCTCTTGGCTTTGCTGTTGCTCTGCCTTCCAAACTTTCTCCATGTTCTTCATGGTAGATGGATGCCATGATTTTTTCAAATTCTACCTTAATAAAGTTTCAATTTTATTAAGTACCCTGGATAGTCTAATTACATTAAACAAAGAAAAATACATTGTAATTCAAATTACCAAATCTCCACCGCCCATTTTCATACAAAATCTGTACAATCAACTTTGCTTTATTATTATCTCATTGTAATTAATCTTTAATGTTTTGAAATGTTTTTTTAATACACAGACACAAAGGTGTACAATAAACTTTGATACAAATACACTGAAATCAACTGAAATGCACACTGGTCATGATCAACACTGATCAACACTGATAACGCCATGAACATCAAAGAGGATAGTACTGATAGTAGGATTGGATCACGGCCTGTTAACTCCCATTAGAATAGTATGGTCCAGTATGGTCAGTCATAAGCTACCGGCCCTTATCACCAATGGTGCTAAAGTCGTATTTTTCGACACATGTACTTCTATGTAGTGCTATATAGTCGGTGGATAAAACACGTTTTGGCGGTGGAGGGAGTTCAAGCCAGGTATGTATTTTTTCCACAAGAAAGGACGACTTCATTTTAAAGGCTAA